TCAGCAGTGGATATGGATGTTTGGGTGAAGGGCACTGAGGAGATGAACAGAGGAAAAGGAGATGAGAATCACAAGATGACCATTACAAGATAGAGGGGAGCACAATGGAAGGGTGCTAGGTGCACAGGGAACTCTGCTAACAAAACCTATGGAGTGTGTAGCATCCTAGTATGAAAATAATTATACCTCTGTGGTCAGTTGCATGGTGGGCATGCTTTTAAAAGTTGCAGACCCAAGCCACACCACAGTGAGGGACCAATTAGTGCACCAGCTATGCCAGCACACTGCCTCATCCCTTGCGGGGTGGTATCCTATAGGGAACACGAAGTGAGCATGGAGCAGGAGAGACTCTTGGTTGGAAGCATTTTTATTCTCTGAGCTGTGTTTCTCTTACCAACACACTCCTCAATATATATGTTTGCTTAGCAAACAGGCTTTAAACTGCACAGCAGTGACAAGAACCTCAGAAAGTCCTTAACTGAGGCAGAGGGTATTGTCTTTATTGGTAGCTGTACCAGCTAGCCTGAGCTGGTTTTAAAGCAACAGCCCTTTGAAAGAGGCTTTAAGATATTAGCAGTTTATGAAAAGTATCTGCTGCCTTGATTCTCAGCTTGTCTCCAATTCAGCTGACCAGGTATGTTGGCAATTGTATCTGCTCCCTCTGGATTCCTCATAACCTTCTGACTTTTCTTCCCGTTTCTTGTTTAAGATTTATGTCCATCTCAAAGAGGGAAGCGGTGCTGATGGGCTGGATGCTTTGAAGAACAAACCGCAGCTCCACAGTATGGTGGCCAAAAGCCTGTGTCAGAATGCCTCTGGGAAGAACTACATCATCTTCACTGGCCCAAGCATTACCAGCCTGAATCTCTTTGAAGAATTTGAGAAGCAAGGTGTGTATCAGGTGACTCACTGGGTTTTAATGATGATAGACCTAGGGACCCTCCTGCCACTGAATTAAATAAACTCCCAAAAAGGGATTTAAATTCCTAGATTAGCTGGTCATCTCTAACAGAAGATTTCATTAATGAAAAGGTACTATTTAAGAGGATTTTCTAAGTTGCTGTTTTAACCTCCCTCTTTAAATCTTCTTGAAGTTCAAAATGAGGATGTAAAAACATTTTTAATGAGGGTATTTAAAGCCCTTCCTTTTGTTCTTCACCATAGAAATATGAGGTCTAATCTCCTGTATGGCCTGGGGGTCTTTTCAAGGGACGTCTTAGCTGCCTTTTCCTGGTCACAGCATGACCAGGAAAGTGTCACAAAAGCCTGTTGAAGAACATCTGTGTTCAGGTGCTCATGACAGCTCAAGACCCATTCTTAAACTGATATATTTACTTTTCAAGAAAATTTAGTTGCTGGGCTAGAGCAGGATCAGTGGTAGAATGATCCCATTGAGAACCGAAAAATAGGAGATTTAAATAAGCTAACACTTAGCAACTATAAACGTTTGGGGAACTTAAATTGACATTTAAGGGAACTAAATGAAATTTTGGAAAATTTGAAAAGAGGTATCTACCAAAAATTCATTATTTCCTCTCAAAATTGTTGATGAGAAGGACCTAGGGGTCTTTGTAGCTGGTGAATTGAAGACGAGTCAGCAGTGTGCCTTGGCAGCAAAGATGGCCAGCACTACCCTGGGCAGTGTTACCAGGAGTGTAGCCTGTAGATCAAGGGTGGTGATTATTGCCTTTTACTCAGCACAGTTTTGGACAACTCTCCCCCAGTACAGGAAGGGCATTGATAAACTGGACTCAGTTCAACAGAGGGCCACCAGCCTGACCAGGGGCTGGACCATATGGTCTGTAATGGGGATTGAACTGTGCTTTTTCAGCCTGAGAAGAGAAGCCTTCATGGAGAGAGCAAACAGTAGCCCTACACTACCCCGAGGAGGTTAGTGACAGAATGGAGCTGGGTCTTCACATTGGTGCATTGTGGAAGACTGAAAAGCAATGGACATAAACTCAAACAAAAGAAGAAATTCAGTCTACATGTGAGATTTTCCCTGGGGAGAGTGGAGCAGGATGCCCAGACAGGTTGTGCAGTCTCTGTCTCTGCACTCTGAGCAGTGCTATCTGACCTCAAAGCTGGCCCTATTGTGAGCAAAGGACGGGACTAGAGACCTCCTGAGTCCTCCTGACCTCTTACCTGGATTAACCCTTAATCCTATGGATCCTGTGATCCTATGGAGACTTTTTATAGAACCCTAACTATAATTTGCTTTTCCTAACCCTGACCCACAGATGCATTACTGCAAAAACCAGTGTTCTTTATTGCAAGCCTGCTGTGTAGCACCTTCATTATACCACAGCAGAGAATGTGCCTAGTAATTTAAAGGGATATCAGTGAACATGAGATCTTTGAAGATACCAAGAGCTGAGAAGACTTCAGAAAGTTAAACAGGGCACTTTGTTGTTTGGGGTTTTTTTTCAAAATCAAAAACCTGAATAGACATCTCTTTATTTTTCAGGGAACATTCAAAGCATTTCTTTCTCTGGCCTCTAAATAGAACTGGAAACCTGCACTGAAATGCCCCAGACCCTCTGTTCTGCAAGCAGGCAGCTGTCATTGTTATCTGCTGTGACATTAATTCACAGAGCCCATCCTTTCTTCCCCCTCTGAGCATTAGTATTGTTCCTTCCAGAGGACAGCACCTCCTAAAGCCCTGTGTCCCATTCTTCCCTTGAACCGTATGATCCTCAAAACTCCCTTTTGTACTTTCTGAACCAGCAGGAGCAGCTGGCTCTGTCCCACAGAGTGTCTGAGCCTTGCAAAGCTGCAGGAGTTGGCAGCCTGGGCAATCATGGCACTCCCACAAGCCTTGCAGGTTCCTGATGCTCCAGCACATGTACTAAAGCAAGCTCCCATCTCCTTCACACACCAGGCCCCCAGTTGCTCTAGTTCTGACTTGACCCAGCATTGCATGCAGGATAAATGTTGCCTTTGCAAATGGTACTATAATGAAGATGTGATGAAATGGGCTTCAGCACAAGCTCTCTGGAGCCTGGAGACCCTGGGAGTGAATCTTGGGCATCTACACCATATTTCCTCATATTTGCTAAGCTAGCTTAAGGTGTATGTGTTTATATTGCAGTTACAGCTTAAGACGACCATGGGAGGACAACCTGTCTTCATTAACTTCTGTGTATGTGGCAAACACCTGTTGTGATTCTGATTTAATTACACACAGAAACGTCATTAAGCCAGATGGGCAAAGTTTTTATTGCTTCTGTTGCTGCAGTAACTGAACAATTTAAAAAAAACTTTAGAGATCAAGGGTGACATCCATAATAGGAAATGCTAGTAAATCTGCAGTAGAGTTGCACTCTTCTAGGCTGTACAGCAGGAAGGTTATACAGAGTGTTCCTGAGGGAGGACATGGTTACTGATACTCTGTATGAGGAGTAAAAAATCTACTAAACCTTTTTGCAGGCTTATTGCCAGAGCTAAAGGAAGGGCTACAGTTAATTATCCTGGGATCACAGAAATGGCTGTTGCTATTTTGAAGCTCTTGCACAATAATGCAGTTATTAGCTTGGTTTTATACCATTTCAGTGTTAGAAAGAGTATCACCCTTCAGTGAGTCATAAACTTTAGGCAGCTAAAGAAATTCTTCTTAGGATTGCTTGTTATCACAGCAGGAAGATCTTAATATTGGCTAGAAGAAAGCTTTCTAAAAGTTTGCTGTGTTAATGCCAAAGTTTGCAAGTACATGTACTGCACTGTTTATGTAGAATAATTTTGGTTAGAAAAGACCTTTAAGATCATCAGGTCCAGCCATTAACCCAGCACTGCCAAGTCCACCACTAATCCACGTCCCTAGGGACCTATCCACATGTATTTAAAATATCTCCAGGGATGGTGAGACTCAAGCACTTTCCTGGGCAGCCTGTTCCAGTGCCCAACAACCCTTTCAGTAAAGAAATTTTTCCTAATATCCAATCTAAAAGCCTCCCCTCACACAACTTGAGGTAATTTCCTCCTGTTCTATCACTTGTTACTTGGGAGAAGAGACTGACTCTCACCTCACTGCAACCTCCTTTCAGGTAGTTGCAGAGAGCAATAAGGCCTCCTCTCATCCTCTTTTTCTCCAGACTAAATAGTCTCAGTTCCCTCAGCTGCTATTTATAGGACTTGTTCTCTAGACCTTTCACCAGGTTCATTACTTTTGTTTGAATACGCTCAAGGACCTCACTGTTTTGTATCAAGAGACAAAAAAGCTCCTTCCACTGGAGTTGCAGCTCCTTCTATATTGATTGTAAGCCTGTTGCCCTCAGGCTTTTGTTATTGTTTTTTTCTGAAAGGAACTCATGGATTTCCAGGGATTGATACATTCATTGGAAATAAATGATGGAGTGCACATTTCCTCCTTCAGCATGAAGTTACCCCATTGCTGTATTGGTTGACCTTCTTCTGACATAAATGTCTTACTAAATTTCTGATGGAAGAGCCTTAGCTCTTTGTTAACCTGCCCACAGCAACTGTACAAATTCACAGATACTAGCAGTTATATTCCTGTAGTGTACGTGGGCTGTTGAGGGGATGATGTCAGCCACTGTATGAATCAAGGACAAAGGCTGCAGCTGCACTCGAGAGCTTTGGTCATTCCAGAAAGACAGAGGCAGAAGAGCCACATATATGACAACCCAAGAACAGAGATAACATGGTCCGTGGAAGCCAGACACTTTTATCTGACTTAGCATTTCCCCTGTAAGGATATCCAGTTATCACACCTGCAGAATTCTGCATGAGGAAAAATTTGATCAAGCAGACATAGCTGATAGATGAGCTTTAAACCACCAGAAGCCTAAGCTGCTATATGAAAGATGTGCACAGATGTCACCTGTTTCCATGCTCACCCTTTCTTTTTTAATCCAGTCAGTGAGCTAACACAAAATCAGGGAGATGGAGCAAATTTCCATCCAAGATTTCCTTGAGTTCAATTAATTTGATCAAGTAGATCTGCTTCTCTTGGACTGACAGAAACAAGCTATTAGTATTTCAAACTTAATAACAAATTCAAGCAATGTCATTATTGGTGTTGTTTCCAAATCTTCTTTGGGCCTACCTGGCTGCACTGAGATGTATTTTGTGATGTTAGAATTTATTCATTGCCTCATTCACATATGAAAAGGTCAGGAAGCTGTGAGCAGCAGAATGTCACCTGTTGAGCCTCTGATGTCTTTGCAGGACAAGTTCAATGCTTACTCAACTAGGGCACTATTTGGCTTAGCTTCTTTCTGTAACATCTGTTTTTGTTGAACTTGTATTTCCATCTTCTCAGTCCTTCTGGCACATGCTTTTTTTTTTTAAACCAACCAGTGGTTTCAGTGGTTCTTAACTGCTTGAACAGCATTTCCTTAACAAACTGGATGATGCAGGTGCAAAGGGTAATGAGCTGAAAAGAACTGGGCATCAGAGTGAAGCAGTAGGTTAAACCAGAGTTTGTCAACTATGTATATTGTGATTAAAAGCATCATGGGAGTCATGCAGGATAATTTATTTCATTTAGCATCTAAGATGCTGTAGCTTTCCCTGCCTCCCAGAATTTATTCTCGTAGTTAAATATCAAATACTCTCTTGGACCATACATTCTGATTTGTTCCATAATGCATATCAATGTCTGTTTGGGGTTTTTCAGTCCTATTTTAAACATGTTGTGAAGGCTATTAAACCAATTTTAGATGTTATTTTTGGGAAGATACCTGAATTCTTCTCCTTGTCATGCTTTTATGATGACTGTGCAGGAGGTGTCAATACATTTCAGCAAGAGAGCAGGCTTTCTGCACTTGTCTTGGTTTCCAGAGACATTAATGTAGAAAACAGATATTTGATATTACAGGAGAAGGCCAGTTGGCTAACATATCTGTTGGACTAGAAACCTATAGCACAAGCTCTTTCTCTAGTGAGGTCATTTGGACTTTTTCTACTGCTCTTGCTTTCTGGGGCCCTGCAAAGCCTTGCTGATAGGGGGTGGTTTTGTTCACGTGCAGGGATTTACTGCTGTGGGTTGCTGAGTGCCAGGAAGAGTGACTGCACAGGCCTACCTCCATCCATGCTGAACAACCCTGAAACTCCCCAGTCCAGAGGACAGTACAGAATAAGAATGAAGGGAAACATGTCCTTGATCTGCTGGTACAATAAAGGGCACTTTCGTTTTCTGACCAACGCCTATTCACCAGTTCAACAAGGTAAGCAATATTCCTACTTCTCATGTGGAGAGTCCACATGCTTTATGTGGTGAGGCAAACTGAGCCACTGGGTTTGATAATAAGCCTGGACAAAGAGCTTGATTGTAACAACCTAGACAGTAGCAGTAGTGATGGCTTCCCCTTTGTGTCTTCCTACAGCTATTCCTGTTTTCCCATATGAAGGTTAAAAGCCAGCAGCCTCCTTTGCCTGAGTTGGTGGAGGCAGTATCCTTTTAGGAATAAAGATTGTGTCTTCACTGATGGTCAGGGAAGGGAAGGTGTTGGTTGTGTAACACTATAGTAGCCCTATTTGCAAAGCATCCTGCAGGATTGCTGTTACAGAAAAACTAATAAACGTCATGATGTACTTAGAACTCTGAGCAGATCCTACAATTAATCTTATCCAGTAAAAACTTAGTCACAAACATCTTTTTGCAAAAAGTAAATATGATTAAGGCTTCCTGTTGTATGTTAAATTGATTTTATCAGTGGATTAAAAGAAACAAAGACAGGTAACTTGGATAGTTCGAACAATTGCAAAGAACTTCTTGATGCAGAAATCTTTTCCTTTTCAGAAGTATATAGATGGTTTAAAGAAAGTCTGAGAACTTCTGTAAGATGCAATATGATTTGCTCTCTGGAATTCGTCTTTCAGTGAAAATACAGTTTCATTTTCTTTTCATTTTGATTATTCAGATTTATGTATAACTGTCTGAAACAAGAATAACCTAAACCTTTAAATGTAAAGCCATCAATTCAAAGATATCTTGTACACTCATGTTCTGAATCCCAATGTGTGTACAGGCTACAGAAGCAAATTTAAGGTCTTGAATGACTGTATGGTAGGTAAGCTGAGAAGTTGACTTAGTGTGTTGTTCAGTGCTTTGCCAGAGGGCTCATTACTTCAGCAAAACATGGCTGATCCCAAGGAATTCTGCCAGGCACCCCAGCAGAGCAAGGACTTGGTGACTTGGATGGACTGATATCTGAGCACAAATGCTGAAAGTATGTACCTGAAGGAAATAGGACACTTTGGGGAGCCAGCTGAAGCCAGTCCTTGGAGCAGTTTGCTCACCAGGAGGCACATTCACCATCAGGATTTGTACTGTTTCCCTTGTGTACTTCTTTGCTGGACTTTGATTATTCAGGCTGCACAACCTGGACAAGAGTTTTCACTATATGTCACAAGACACAGAGCCTTCGGTTATAATTCTTAAAGATTACTAGAAAAATACTCTGTAAATGTCAGTGTTAATTGCTCTGTTAAAAGAGAGAGCAAAAGCAGACTCTGCCCTGGCAGCATCCTTTATAGGCAGCACACACACAGCTGTGAGCTGTTGCTCTTGTGACTGACCTTGGGTCTGTTTGGCCACAGATGGGATCGTAGGGTTCATGTGAGAGGCAGTTTAACATCCACTGGTTAGGACCTGTGTGTGTGGGATGGGCACGACCTGCCCAACACATTGCTCACCAGATGCTGGTTGGGGCAGTTGACATAATTCACAATGAATCAGAACAGAAACCAGAGAATGGCTTTTTAGAGAGGTTGCTGGAGGGAAGAAAGTCTCTAGTAGAGAGCTGGGAACAGATGGAGACTCGGTAGGAAGGCAGGAGACCAGATTGCCTGCCTCTAATCTGGCATTTCTGAAGTCAGTGCAGCAAGGCTAGCTTAAACCAACTTGAAACTGGACCACAAAGTCTTCTCTAAGGCATGTAAATACAGAGGAGAAGTGTATCCTCCTTGAGGCAAGCCTGTAGCACAGACCTGTGCAGAGCAGGTGTTAAACAGGAAAGGAGGTCTGGGCAAAGGGGAATAAAACCCGTGCAGGGTAGGTGGACAGACTGGTGCCAGTGAGAATGCCTGACATTCCAGGGTGTGTGTTTGCACTTGGTTGTGCATAAACGGTGAGAGGGGTGGAAGAGGCCAGGAAGAGAAAAATCTTAAAAACAGAAGGCAAGAGGTGGTCAAAACAAAACTTAAGAAAAGAGATGGGTGTAGCTAATGAACTATTTACTGCAATTTAAAGGAAGGTTGAGAAGGTAAATCTTGTCTGTACTCTGAATGCAAATCCCTCCCAAGCTAGAGGCACCAGGAGGGCAGTACACTTGTCAGAGCTGATCTATGAATGCTGTTCTTAGATGCAGCAGGTTATTTATTATGGATGTTTTGAACCAACATTTTGTAATAACATCATCTCAGATGCTAAAGGATGAGTCTTACTCCTTTAGCCTTGTAAAAATGTCCTGCTTACTCTGCTATCAAGTACGAAGTTTCTACCTAAAACAAAATTCAATGAGTTTTTAAATTTCTCTTAAGCTTTAATTTGAGTTTAATATTTTTCCTTTTGCCTGTATTACAGAAGTACTAAAATGTTACCCTTATTCTAAAGCACATGAGGCATATGCTGGCCCAAACCTTCCCACCTGTGGGCCATGGCTGCATTTTAAAATTTTCACTCTAGGTCTGGTGTCTGCTTTCCCAGCATCTCCGTTACTATGTTCTAGAAATAACTACAAACCTTTTTGCTTTCGTATGAGGCAGGATGGAGCAGGCACTAACCTCACTTGCTGCACAACAGGATGATTAGAATTAAATCTTTAGCAAAAACTGGTTGAACCCAAGATCTTTTTAAGAAGGGGCATCTTTCTGAGAAGAGCTATACTTCAGCAACCATCTCTATTTAAAAGCTAAACCTACAATGGCTAAGGACAGAAAACCAAGCTTGGGACACATACACAAGGACTAAAGAGCTGCAAATGACACGTTGGCAGCTCATGAGTCACTTGGGAAAAGAGGAGAGATCTTGTGGAGGCATCATCATTGTATGAAGCAGTTTAAGTCCCTGTGTGGTTCTTAGCCCAGGGGGAGCTGGACTAAGGAGTGTCTGCTGACAATCTCATTTCCGGCAAAAATCAGCTTGTGAGATTGGCCCAGAACTGGCAAGTCTGAGGAAAGAAACATGATGTTATAAAGTATCTTTAAGGATGAGGAAGCTTAGGGTTTTAACTTCAAATTTTTATGTGTCCTATGTGAGACTACATTCAGGGGGTTCTGTCCAAGTATGGTGAGAATGGGGGTGGGAGCAGAGGACTCTGATGGGAAGATCTTGAACATTAGATCTTGTGCAATGCTGACTATCTGCAGTTCTGATGAAGAACTGCAACAAAACTAAGTCTTGATAAGAAGCCATATAGCACTTGGAGCATACAGTGCCGCTCTGTTACATTCTGTTATGCAATCTCAGTGCTTGCCAAGATGGGTGCAAGTGCTGGTACTGATGAGCCTACATTTTTAAAAAACAGGATTCAGGCTCCTAAAAATCACAAATTGGCTTAGAATAAATGTTTGAGGCAACAAACATATGTACACCTTTGTCTTTCTGGTCTTCATTTGGGGTGGTTTTTCCCAAGTTTTGCCTGATGAGCACCCAGCTCAAAAACTTTTCTTTTTCAAAAAAAAGTTTATAAAACCCCCAAGACCTGATGCCTGGCTGTGTTGGTAGAGCTGTGGGCAGCAGTGGGCACCCCTTCCAGCGTGCTGGCAATGGCAGGCTGCAGCTGTCCCCTGGGGTGCTGCCAGGAACACAGCCCTGCTGGGGAAGGACCAGGAGGGGAAATGGTTCATTGGATGAACCCATGAGTCAACTGGCTTAGGGCCACTTGTCAGAGACCTGCAGCTAGGAACCACCCATCTCCAGCAGTTGTGCTCCCTGGAGAGGTGGCCTATGGCTACGAAACAAGTCTAGGAAAGGCTATAAAAATATGTGCATTAAGCTATTTATATTATGTGTATATATATACACATGTATTTGTATATGTTATGTATAGCTATATATAACAGAGGAATGTTACGTGGAATATAATAGAAAGTGAGAGGGAATATACAGTACCCACATAGCTGCGACTGCAATGCATTGTGGGGTTTTTTTAAGAATAATGAACATGAAGCAAATTGCAAAGGAAATTCAAATCCTCCAAAGGAGGAGAGGAGGGAAAAAGAGAGGAGAACAAGAGGAGAAAGAAGGTGATTGTGTTTTTTTTTGTAAAACACTGGCATCAGGAGCATACTTATTCTTTGCTTGACCTGCCCAGGTGGGATGGCAAGTGATTTTGCAGCACTGATGCAACAGGCTGGTGGTATAACAATGAAAAAAAGAGTCAAATCAGCATCTCTGTCTTGGTAACTTTCCATTTTTAGGGCAGAAACTGTTAATAAGGTTTATTTCATAATAATATCTAGAAACTGTATCTTTTAATATCTAGACCCATGATGTGGATTTAAAACTGCTATGTTTCTAATTGGTGCAGGAGTTATAATTAAGAGAAAAAGTGGAGAAATTCCATGCCCACTGGCAGTTGAAGCCTTTGCTGCTCACCTTAGCTATATCTGCAAATACGACGACAAATACAGCAAGTAAGTAACTCTGTGTGTTTGCATTTCTTTCACTCCTCCTCTGTTGCTGCAACATTTGAATTCTCCACGTAGAGCTACAGCTGAGGGCCCAATCCTGCTCTCACAGAATTAACCCCTGACAAAACTCCTGTTTCAGTCAAACATCAGAAGCTGGCTCTGCAGGAGGGCATTGCTGCATTGCTAGTGTAGTTTTGGCTCTATCTACCCATCCACTAGTCAAAAAAAAAATCTCAAATTTATGTTCTTAGTGTCTTGTAAATAATTTCTAAGAAGTTTTGGGAAGATGAGCCAGCAGTCTAATTTTCTTGGCCACATCAAATTGAAGGCTAAATAGAGAATTCAACAAGGGTCTGCCAGCCCCACAAATCTCTCAGACTAGCTCAGCTCTCCACCCTTATCAGCAGATGGCATTTAGGTTATTATCTGTCCTGGTGATATTTGTGTCACCTGGAGCCAGAAGAAAAGGACATTCAGTTGTGGATGATTTAGAAGAGATGGGAGAGGAGAATGTAGATATTTTGCCTCCTGAGTTCTCTTTGGGGTCTTCAATGTTAGCAATTAATGTAGCAGGGAGAAACAGAAATGAGTAAGAAAAGCAGTGGTGAAGCCTGGCTGTGTGAAGAGCAATGAGGTGAAGAAGCTTTCAAGAACTAAAAATTGAGGAGAGAGGGGAAAAAGCAGCAGGGATTTTCCAAGCAAGCTCTGGGCAAGGCAGCAAGAATTCAGTAGCAGACATGAAAGAGGAGGAGGTGGTTGCTGGAGACCAAGGTTGGGATCTGATCTGAGGAAATAAATATGAAAAAGAGGTGAGGTAGTAGATTTAAATGGTTACTTGAAAAATGAAAGTAGAAAAGTGAGAAATTTTACAAACAAAGAGTGAATGTTCTGGCAGCCCTAGAATTAGTCAGAGCCTAAATATAAGTATGTCAGTTCTTTCTAGTTCTGCCTTATGGAGAGGTGCTCCACTTACCAGCACTGCATGCTCTGGCTCTGCCCCCACATCCTCCCACCTACTGTTGACAGCAGCAGAAATCATTCTTTGCTTGCAATAGAGATAAACAAGATTAGAAGCATCAGCAATCTTCCCTAAACCGTAACGTAATGTGCCTGAGGCTTTATTTTAGTTACAAATTGGAGGGGTTCAGACCCACAGCTCCCATCACGTGGATGTTTGTCACAGGTAAGCTTCAGGAGTCTGTATCAGTGCTTTTACTTACATGGAGTGGTTGAGGAAGGAGTGTGTTACTGAGGTTTTGCTTCTGAGATCAAGGAAGTCTGTTCTTTTAGACACTACTAGAAATTTCCAAAATTGTGCAACTTAAAAGTTAACGGCTGTCAAATACATTGTACCACATTTCTTAAGGTGATACATGCACTGGATATTAAACCCTGGGCTTGCTTCTCCTTCAGGACTGCAGAATCTTTGTCAGGGGTTATTTCTTGCATGTGAGATGCAAGTTTTTTGGCTGACCAGTGCTTTTCCCTCCCCTTCTCTTTTGGCTTTCTAGGTATTTCATTTCTCACAAACCAAACAAGACCTGGCAGCAAGTGTTCTGGTTTGCCATCAGCATCGCTATAAACAATGCCTACATCCTCTACAAAATGTCAGAGGCCTACCACGTGATGAGGTACAGCCGTGCACAGTTTGGGGAGAGACTTGTAAAGGAGCTTCTGGGCTTGGAAGACATCTCACCCTCCCATTGATGCATTGTTCTTGGTGGTGTAGGCAGGGGGTGGAGGGTGAGCAGAAGACGACACCACACCTGGAACTGCAAAGCAAGGAACTTGTGACACCACCAGTGCTGTACTTATCTGAAAATGCCAAGTAATGCCACTAGAGAGATGGAAACTTTGTTCCTAGTAACAGAAAAGGCCACTGGAAAAGCTGACAGAAAATCATAGAATGGTTTGGGTTGGAAGGGACCTTAAAGATCATCCAGTTCCACCCTCCCCCTTGCATGGGAATGCCCTGTGGGAATCTGTATGCCACAGAAATGGACTTCAATTACTCATCTCTCCATACTGTTTATGGAACAAAAAAACCCAAGGGTCATCTTGCAAATTTCCCCTTGGGCTAAGAGCTGGTCATAAGCTGACATAGCTCAACAGTCCTAGGTGGGCATTCCAGGAAACTCTACACCTTTCTTGGAGTTACTCAATTCTGGGACAAGCAATGTAAGTCTGCAGTGAGGGCTGTGGCTGCAGGTGTCTGCCACCTTCCCGGGCATCACAGCTCTCCTCCCAGCATGCTAAACAGCAGTTCAGATACACAAACACTGAAGCAAGTGTGTTGACAAACAAAGCCTTCCCAAGCAGGCAGCCAGGAACTGAGGACCAGTTAAGACTTATTCTTGCCATCTTTTTTGGTTTTCTTTGTTTTTATTAATGTCATGTAAGGTGATTTGAGCCCAGTTAAAACACAGCAAAATTAAGATAAACCAAATACATTAAGGAATATAAAATGGAAATACATGTCAATTATTTTCTTTTTTTAACTGTGATGAAACATTTTATACACAAACAGGGAGTAATACTGTAAGTGTTAATAGTGAGTAAACCAGTAAGTAATACTGCCTCTCATCTTTACTGCCACGGTCAGTGTACAGGTGAAAAATCAGAGTATAACAATTATATATTTTTCTTGAGTTCAACTTTATCTTGAACTTTGCTTAAAAATCAAATGTAATGGACTGTTAAGTTTTTAGGAGCAACTATTTCTTTTCCTTTTGTACATGTCAAGACTTTTTTGGTCCATTTTAGAACTTAATTTGGCATGTAGTTGGCAGGAAGAATAATTCACTAATAGCAGTGTGTTTCCCATTATCACTGTGGGGCATTCTGTTGGAATTCTTGTTAGAATTCAGAGCTTGTCACAGGAGGTTGTAATTAATCGGCTTACGTAGTTAGCAAAATAACATAGCATTGTCTTTTACAAAAAGCAAGAAGACCAGTTGCAACTAAAACTTTACCAAAACAGAATGAACCCAAAGAGTTCTCCTGTCGAGTAAAGCATTGTTATGAGCTGGTACCCATGGCTGAAATGTTATAGTTTGGTGTTGGTAGAATCTGAAAGCTGCTGAAGTTTTGGAAAACAATGCTGAGAGAGAGAAGTATGATTGAAAAAGGGGAGATTTGATACTGAGGTGAAATACTGCCCTGCCCTCTACACCTTACTGATTTCAGTCCACAGGTCAAACTCTGTATTCTAAAGGTTAGCACTAATGGATACAAACAGAATTGCATCAACTTACAGGGCAGGAACCATGTTGCTCAGAGGACCAGCTGGTTTTAGGTCTCCAAGCCAGAAAAGTTTTACCAAAGAATGTCTTGGGTTGATTCAAGAGGAACAGAGTGTGTGGGTGATTGATCAGTGTGAACCTCACCAGGTTATATGTGTCTATCTCAGAAGAGACAATAGGGGGTAACCAAAATGAATTTGAGAACTCCCCAGATTGGGTCATGACGTGATGTGCAGATGCACAGCATGTAGATCATCACAGAAGATGAATCCAGAAAGGGTTAGTGAATTACTGACTAGCCCAAAGGACATCTTTCTATTTCCACCAAAGTCTTTTTTTCTTGGAGTAGGCTTTGGCAGATCTCACCTGGCTGCAGGAAAGGACTTGGCTGACTTCTCTGTGGTTCTGTTTCCAATAGAGCCTGGAGACTGTCCCACAGAGCCTACTCTGCCCACCAGCTGCATGATGTACAGAAGTGGGTTTCCTAAGCACCCTTTTCCACTTCTCAGTCCACAGGGTCTCTGTCCAGGAAACGTGTGAGAAAGGACAAAACCTTGACAATGCCAAGCTGCATAGGAGCCCAAGGATGAGTTCCAACCTTCTTGCCCCTTCAGTGAGTGAGTGTGTGCAGTAGCTGGTTCTTGTCAGTTGTCTGAGTATTCAAAGAGGGAGATGAGCTAGTGTGGGGCATGAAAAACAAATATTCAGCAATATAAGCCCATGGTTTCATTTTAAGGAAACTTCACAGAGGTATCAGAAGACAAGTGGCATTCTTAGTGTTAGCTCCCTGCTTCAGATAATGCCAGTCCTGTAAATTTATGTGGAAGTCAAAAATGGGGCAATAAGGAAGGGTCTGGCTAGAACTTCGTTGATGGAGCAGCTTGAGTGAACTGTAGCTGCTGTGTTCCCCTGTAGCTTCCTTGCATTCCCCTGAAATGCTTGAGCATTTGCAAGATGCACATGCCCCCAGCAGCAATGGGGAGGTTTGCAGGACCTCCTAAGAGCCACTTGGCACTTCTGAGGAGTAAGCCCAGCACTGTCCAGGTATGTCACAGCCCCTTGAGACAGATCTGGAGCCCTTGGCCAATTGTTCATGTTACCGTGTGTGCTTAAAGGCTTAGAAATAGACTGTCTTGTACAGAAAAAATGCTGTTTCTTTTTCAGGTGGCAGTAGGTCAAAGGTCTTGAAATATTTAACTTTCCACTAATGTGTGCTGCTAATTATGTGGATTACTTGAGCTGAAATAATGAGTTCCTAGCTTTTTGCCTCAGGGACTGGGTCCTGAGTAGTTTTCCCTAGAATTGGTGTTGACAGGGGATTACACAGTGGCTGACTATTACAGGGAAGATGCTCTAGTCTCCTTTTTAAAGGAGAAAAGTGAAGACAAAGATTATAGCTTCACAATGAATTTCATTTTCTTAGCCTTAACCATCCCTCATCGTCTTGAACTGGTGCCCTAAACGTGCACAAACATTCCATAAATGAGAAAAAATATTTATATATTTATATGAATGAAATTCCTGAATTTTAGCTTTTGAAGCCAACAAGCAGAAGCCACCAAAGCATAGTGTACATCCACAGGTGGTTGTTCTTTCCATTTCTCCATTTATTGACTGAGATCAGATAAGCCTGGGGGAAGTTAAGATTTCTTGTGTTTAAAAAAGCATCTTGAACTTAGCCCTGCGTTACTACAAATGAGGCAAAGCAATTAAGGAAGAAATTGAATACTTTTCAAAACGCAAAAGTTTGTGAACTGCAGCTCAGCTTCTGTAGCATTTCCTCCACTGCAAACTGGCTTGCTTTTGTTCTCCACCTGCTTGTAACACTAAAGCTTTGCCCTAGCTAAAGGGGAAAAAAAAAATAATCTCACAGTAGCACAAGGATGCTAGTTACAGTGTATGTGTGTGTGAATTGTGAAATGTCTGTGAAATGATAGCAAGTTTGGGGGTTTTTCATTGTGTTTTTTTGTAGCCTTGAGACAATCTGGGTCAGAGACCACAAAGCTCAGCAATAGCTAAAATCAGTGGAAATGCCAACCAGGTGACAGAGGACCATTTCTAGTTTTTTCCAGGGAACAAAAAAAACCATCAACAAACAAAACTGTTTGAAGGTGAAGTAGCCAAGGGAGCAGCAAGGCTTGTTTCTCTCCTGCTGAGTTGTATTTTCATTCACACATACTTCTGTAAACTGAAAATTACTTATTTATGGTATGCAAACTTTGTTTCAAAGAACCAAGAGCTTCAGTAGGACATACTGACCACCTTCTATGCACAGTACTTTGAAGAACTGTCTGTCCTGCCACAATCCGTTCTTGGAAATCATTTGTTTTCCCAGTGCGTAGTGTGACACTTACTAAAGCTTAGAAGCCACTGTGAAATGGTTTCCACTGCTGTTGTCTCAGTTAAAAAAATGCTTGAAGGGCTTGCAGAAACTCTGCTGCTTTTTACTTCAGCCCATTTGTGCACTTGACACTAGGGCATAATTTAAAGACACCTTATCTCCATTTTCCATTTCTGTTCTCTAGCCCCAACCTTTCTACATTTACAAGGTAGTTCAAGAATCCAAATTTATAGAAGTCTCAGTGTCCCTAAAGGCCACAACTTTGTTTGCTTTGGACAATTCCTAGAGAAAAATGAACTTAGTAGCCTGTCTTGAGCTGATGGGTAGTGAAAGAAGCCTCCAGTATCTCAGTAATACATGTCTTAGTTCCCAAGTCCTGAGGGATTATGCTGTGCAGATAATTCTATGCCTGTGTGCTGCTTTCCATGCAAAGTGCTTTAACAACCCCAGCACTCATGAGACATCGTTAGCTCCTCAGATAGGAGCTTCCCCTCCCCTAATCAGGCATGGAGGCACAGCACAGCTAAGAGAGTGATGCAACTGTAAGTGGAGTTTGTACTCCTGCTGATTAAGTCCTTTAATTTCATCGACTTGGTTCTTGTTTGGATGCACTTTTCCAAACTAGAAATCAAAGCATGCCAAACGTCGTCCCATCCTGAAATAAGGTCTGTGGGACTTTGATTCATAGAGGCCTGTATGGAGTAAGGAACCTGTGCTGACAAAGCCAGATTGCATTGAAGGTAATAGAAAACTGGATAAAACATTGCAGCCCAACTTGCCTGGAGTAGCTTAAAGGAGCTAAATGAAGAATCTGAAGCTCCACGGTAACTCCAGTAATCAACGTGAAATTCAGACAAATAATCACTAAGACTGACTTGAGAAAACTCACTGAGGCTTAGATGGAATATGAAGTCTTCCATCCATCTCTGTTGTGGAGTTTGCCATGGCACTTTCTTTTTGCTAGGACTACTGTAAGATTAGTTGTTTGTAAAACAAGATCTCATCTCAGTCTACTTGAGAAAAACATTCCAATGTCAAAGGAACTTGAGCAACGTTTCACAAAGGCAAGGAACTCTAAGCTCAGAACATGGGTATATTTGGCCTGTCATTAACTGGGATCACATCATGTCTGCCCAAATGCAAGCCTATCACCAGTGCTACTTGAAATGTTTGCCTCCTTGTGACAGTTCTTCCCAAACCTACCTTTGTTTCCAGAAGCATTATGAACTGGAAAAGCCCCCTTATCATCTCACTGTTGGGGGACAGTTGAGAATATCTTTACT